GTTGTTGGGAGCACTAAGCTCGAAGTTGTTGACGAATATGTTTACATGGGACAAATAGTCCGACTAGGTAAGTCCAACTTCGACCGAGAGGTCAATCGACGGATTCAACTCGACTGGGCAGCGTTCGAGAAATTACGATACATCTTCTTGTCAGGCATACCTCAAAACTTGAAAATGAGATTGTACAACCAGTGCGTGTTGCCAGTGATGACCTATGGATCTGAGATCGCTTAGCGAGCTATGGAGAGGACTATGATCAGGGTTTCTCTGCGTGATAAACTTAGAAATGAGGATATTTGCAGTAGAATCAGAGTGACCGGTATAGCCCAACGGATTAGTAAGCGGAAGTAGCATGGGCCGGCTATAAAGTTTGAAGATGCCACAACCGATGGGGAAAAAAGGTTCACGAGTGGCAGCCTCGTACCGGTAGGCGAAGTGTTGGGCGACCCCCACTAGATGGAGTGTCGACCTGGTAAGACTGTAGGAAATCCATGGATGCAGGTGGCTCGGGACCGTGTTTTGTGGCATTCTTTGGGGAAGGCCTATCTTCAGCAGTGGACTTGTGAATGGCTGTAATGATGATGATGACAACCAGAGTATAGTAATGTCCGACGACCGACATTATCGAGCGGGTCTCACAGATCACAGAGTACTGAAGCTATAAATGATCCATTTGAATGATCAACCCGGACGACCCGGTTCGTAAGACGAAGCAATACTTGAACGATCGGGTCACGAGAAATGAATGAATAACACATGTCTATCAGTAAGCAGAAGAGCCAATGGGCCAACAAAAACCGACAACGGATGGGGAAGAAAGATTATCGAGTGGTAGTACCAGTAAGTGTAGAGCGGAACTAGATGGAGTGACGACATGGTAAGAGATTTAGGAAGTCAATGAATGCAGGTGGCTAAGGACCGTTTCTAGTGGGATTCCTTAAGGTCTCCCTCTATATTCAGCTGTGGACTTGTAATGATTTGTAATTATGATGATGACCAATGGCTATAATTTGAAAATGAAAGCGTTTGAAATTATTTAAACTCAAAAGATTAATTTACAGTTTCTTATATTTCGAACATAGGATAATATTAAACAACTTAAAACTCTACGCACTAAAGTAACGTTTTATTTATGCATTTATTTTGTCTAATTAGTTTTTTTTTTATTTGTTTACCTAAAGTTTTTTTTAAATAAATTTTATATTTACGGATACGAACACATTTACATTATTTATACAATACAATACAAACACTCACGCCTGTCACCCAGAGGGGTAGGCAGAGACTACGGACTTCCATTTGGCGCGATCCCGACACACCTCTCTCGCCTCCTTTACATCCATATATTTACGCATACACTTATTTATGAATCACAATATTAAGAGATTAATTTGAGTGAATTATGCAAGATTCTAGAGCTACAAAAACTGACAAATCATTTAAGCGATACCGGTACTTGTGCTTAAATATTTTTAATTTTTTACACATTGGTTTGATATCTGTCGCTTTCAATGCAACGTCATGGTAAAGTATGTATGCTAGCTGAGTCAATAAGTGACCTTATTTATAAAATTATTCGCAAACAAAAAAAGTACTTACTTCACCCAAAGTACTTTTTATTTTCCACGTGCTCATAAAATTTTTCGTATAAAAGCTCCGTTTAATTAAACTGGGTCCCAGCTGGAGTGACCAAAAAATGGTTACTTAATTATTTAATTATAATTCAGCGAGAAGCGTGTTGGTTAACTGCTGGTTCAGAGTTATTAAAAGGATGATTATACGCAAATTAATGGACTGTAGGTGTAGGGTGCGTTGCTCTAACTTACTATTTTGAAATACTGCAAATGCCCTAAATTTGGGCTACAGGAAGGACGTTAAGGAATGCATGTGCACTCACCTGGACTTCCTAACCTGCCTCGTATCTTAAGGGCTGCAGCCAAGATGATTGGACGCCAGCTTTCTTCAGACATCTAAGCTTCACAGATAATGGCGAAATATAGCGTTATTGTAAATGTCTATACACTTTACGATATTTTTGTATAGTTTAATATCTAAATTACACAAATAGTCTAGTCAACAAGTTCAAAAACGTGTTAATTCTTATTCCCGCTCTTAATAATGTGTGCGATAGCTCATTCGATTCGGAACGACGTCTAGAAAAATACGATTAGGTTTAAGATAATCAAAAACCATTTTGAACAATTTTTCGCATTTTCAAAAAAAATATCTTTAAGTTTTTCGAATAAAATATAGCATAAATAACTCCTCGCGTTGCCCTCTATCTGGTCGTAAAGTTTCGTCACAATCGGGTAAGCCATTTCGAAGATTAGCCCGGGTAGACAGTCTAAAATTATAAAAATGGTTATTTATGTCTTAAGCATATCATGCAAATAACCCCCTGAGCTTAATAGAAACCAATTATTTCAATATTACAGAGATACACCTCAATTTTATTTATAGGTACAGTAGATGAATGTTATAACATGGTTTAAACTTATCTGTCTGAAGGTCTCGTAAGTGGCAATAGAATAAAATGAAAAAGGACAACAACTCCAAATATTAAAATGACTGCTGTTGCGACAAGCATGGCAACTATAGCAAATATGCATAGCTGATGTTAAGAATCGACGTTTCGGGAAGTCTGCAGTCTGTGAACACGTACAGGGTCGCCCCCGTCACTATATCAGATTTGATACATCACCAATTCCTTCTAAGGATGACTGCAATCGAAAAACATCCTAATTTCAATAGAGAAGATAGAGGTGGTTAACTATGCCATTGGTACCTCGGTCCCCCTGTGACCATGGGTGTTGTAAAGTGCTTGAGAAGGCGGGAATATAAAATAATACGCGACAAAATCCGTAAAAACTAGTTTTTTTTTACATGGCAAATATACTTATATTTATAATAACTTTTGATAGGATGTAGGTAATGATGATGATGATGAAGAAGGTAGTTTCATTAAATATACTTATAACTTATTTATTTTGTATTTTTATAGGTACCTAAATATTTTGTAAAGTTCTTATGCTTTTATACCAGGTGCGAATACTGAATATCCCAATTAACATCTTACAACTTGAGCCAAGTGGAGGAGTCGTACTTATTTGTCATAATTTGCAAGAAAAATGATTTCTTACACTTTTAGCTTTTTAGCATTTTTGCAGTATATATTTTGAAAAATATTGAGTAAAAATAATAATATGAGTCCTACAGGTTTTATTAAAAAGAAACCAAATTCAACCGTTTTTTTTTTAAATATAAATCTGCAATGACAAATGTACTTATACTGATAGTGAAGTCTGTAGACAACAACCAACTTAAAACAAAGAAGGCTTCATATGCAGATGTCATCTCTGAGGACTAAGATAGAATATCTCATAGCCTGTAATTGTACCTACTGGCCCTCTATAATAACGGAACACTGTCACCATCCAGACAGACTCCCAGGCAAAAAAGTTAAGTTGTCGAGCAGGAAGAATACCGACAACACTATCTGACCATTAGATTGTATCCGATGGGTGTAAAAAGTGATAGAAATATAGTATATAAATGTCAGGTACATTCAAGAAGATTTGTACTCGTATAGACGTATGGAGGCCAATATTCAGCAGCGAACTTGTGATGGGCTGTAATGAAGACAGTGATGATGATACGTGGTGGAAACACGCTGTAGCCTATGGTTGTAGCATAAATGGGTCAACTCCACCGGGGAAGGGTCAAGATACACACGGAATACTAGCATGAAATAGCAGCATAGCGCTGCTATAGGTATATCGTATAGTAGCCGAGTGTCGAGAACCGGAGAAACTTTTTTGGTAATTAGATATTCTATCTTAATTGAGTAGGCGTCTATGAATCACAGCATCCACTTACCGTTATGTGAACTATGTGCTCGTTTATCAACCTTACTTTTATAAAAAAAAGTACAAACAGATCAACTAAATTAATCCAGACCTTTGAAATAATTCGCGTGTTCCCATTGGCTGCATGGTATTTCACACTGAATTTTGTACTGTGGCCGACCGTTTCAACTCAAACTAATATGCAGACCGGTCGGATGACTACTTAAATATGGAGTATTTTTGAGTAAGTATACCTGATGGCAAGTGGTTGATGTAGCCCATATACACCTTTATCTATCCTCGATTAAGGGCCACACTGCAGATACGTTATCATCTCCGAAGATTAAGATATATTTCCTTGTTACCAGTAAATAATAGTCTTCGGTTCTCCTCACTCATCATATGAAATACAGCAGCTTTATACTGCTATTTTACTGGTTGAGCCGATCCATTCATACTGCAGCCATCATACAGTTGCAGCGTCACTCTACCACAGAAAGAGATAGATCTTAAGATAAGCATCCTAAGGTCTGTTAAATACGCAAATTATATGTAATTTTCAAAACTCTGTCCAAAAGTCCCGGAAACGAGTGTGTAAGGAATAAAACAATCTTCCTTTTTTATAAGAGAGGGAGCAGTTAAATTGGTTTCCCAGATGAAAACCTGAATTGGTTGGATTAAGAAATTCAGTTTTCTCTGACTCATAATGTCTTGTACATAAGCTTGGGAAGATTTTTTTCGTTTATGTAAATTTTTTGCAACTTTTATTTATCTCCTGCCGACCAAATTGCATCAAAGTAGCTTTCTAAGCTTAGTCGCGGCACAACGCTGGTTAAAGTTAAAAGTCAATTTTCCTTTCAGTACGCGCGGGAAATCGTGTAGAATAGACATGTCTGCTGTAAAGGCTCTGAGTTATCGCATATACGACATTTGCCTTTTGAAACAAAAATTATTTATTTATTCTTAAAAACATAGCATTGAAAAATATATAATATTAAAAAAAAACTATAATAAAATAACGCCATATTAATTTATTTAGTTTAAATTCTAATAAACAAATCGTTAAGTCTATAAAAATAGCGAAAATGAATCCTTATCATAGCATTTTACTTAGATAATTTTGATATTTTGTGTAATACTATATAATAAAAAAAAATGGCAAAGGAATTAGAATTTTTCCTTCGCGAAAATGAAACCTACGACGATTTTTATAGTCGGTGCAATAACTTAACACACTTCGACTGCAGCGAGGAGGAAATGTTGTGGTGGATGATGGGTTCGCGTAGACTGCCGTTAAGTGAAATTATACCAATCACTATTGTTCTGGTGGTCATATTTTTAACTGGTGTCGTAGGGAACGCGTTTGTGTGCGTGGTTATTGTGAGAAATCCCGGTTTGCATACAGCAACAAACTATTATTTATTCAGTTTGGCCGTGAGTGATTTATTATTGCTTTTGTTTGGTAAGTACAGTAATTAAAAAATCTGGAAGGCATTTTTCATATTAATTATTAATATTTGAGGTTTTAAAAATAATTTAGGTAAATAGAACATTTTCTTTATGAAATAGATAAATGTGGCATGGAATATTTTTTTTAATTGTTTTCTTCCTAAAAATTAATTTCTTAGATAAAATTCTTTAGAAAGTAGGCAGAAAAATATTCCCTTTTTGTGTTTAAATAAATTGTAATACTTATATTTTCGAATTAGTGTGCGAAATAAAATTTTAGTAACGTCGTTTTTATAACAATAGAGTAAGAGGCGAATTAATTATTCATTTGAAGTGGCTACAACCTACAATAATGCTTATATATAAATGTAAACAGCAAAAATGCATATATATATATATATATATATATATATATATATATATATCAATATATATGCATATATATGCATAAGTAATATTGTATAGCTTAATACCTATCTATAACTGACACGCGCAACGGGAAAGGGGGTCTTTGATTCCCTAGCCAATGAAAAAGGAGATATACAATCTATCTAGATAGATTGTATGCCAAAAAATAACATAAATATTAACAAAAATGAGACAAAGAAATGTGGTAATAAAAACACACAAAATTTTCAAATAAAAATGTATTTAAATTTGATTTCATTAATAGGGTTGAGTTTTCTGAAGAAAAGTTATTTCATTATATTTGAATACTAATTTTAATAACACACTTATACAACATGTAACAAATTTTTTTGTTACATATTGTATACTCTGGTTCTGTACTCGGATAGCCATCGTAGCCCTACTGTACAAGCACTTCAACACTTCGATATACCGACAGTCAACTTTGATGTACTACTTTTGTTACTTTCATGTAACTGCTGGCCGTATGAGGAAGCTCAAGGTCGCTCAGCGAGCTATGGAGAGGGCTATGCTCGGAGTTTCTCTGCGTGATAAACTTAGGAATGAGGATATCCGCAGTAGAACCAGAGTGACCGACATAGCCCAACGGATTAGTAAGCTGAAGTGGCAGTGGGCCGGCCATATAGCTCGAAGAAGCGACAACCGATGGGGAAGAAAGGTTCTCGAGTGGCAGCCTCGTACCGGTAGGCGAAGTGTAGGGCGTCCCCCCACGAGATGGAGTGACGACCTGGTAAGACATGCAGGAAGTCGATGGATGCAGGTGGCTCAGGACCGTGTTTTGTGGCATTCTTTGGGGGAGGCCTATGTTCAGCAGTGGACTTGTGAAGGGCTGTAATGATGATGATGATGATGATATTGTATAAGTTCTATCGTAGAACTGACAGTAGAACTAGTTGGACAAACTAAAGTATAACCTATTCAATAAAAAATATTTATCAAATCGGTTTACAATGTTAAAAAATATAGAGTCGAGCTGTAAAGATTCTCCTTTTTCGATGTCGGTTAAAATGCACAGCGCGTTCGTTGGTCTTTATTCTTTCCTAAAGCAGCATTGATATTGCGAGCTGCCTCTGCTGCGATGTTGTTAAAGAACCAAGTTGGACCACGAACCACAAATTCGTATTTGAAACTCACTCTAATTTTGTAGGTCTCCGTGTCTTACGAAAATACTGAATGATAAAACAATTGAAAGTAAAACAATTGAGTGTCAATTTTTTTTGGATTTATAATGTTAGGTACGTATAGATTTCGTGTAAAAATGTTTGATCACGCAAATTAAATAATTTGATTTTTCTGATTTTTATGACATCCGTTAGATCATCTATCTAATATAAGTGGAGAAACAGCAATTTTTAAGGATTTTCCCAAAAACATTATAAAAAAATTTGTTTACATTTTGTTTAAGTAATGATTTGACGACGGCAGGAGAAGAATTCAGTGACTTAGTGCCTAAGATCGGAATATCAGTAAAATATTTCTCATTGAATAAAACTACTTTTACGGATTTTATCGCGTTTAATTAACTTATTATATATTCCCGACGTTTCGCTTGCTTTCCAGCAACCGTGGTCACGGGGGACTGAGGTGATTGCCGTCCCAATGTCGGAGTTAATCCGGAGTACCTTCAGCTTTTTTAATTAATAATTTTGGTCCGATCTACGCAGAATGAATTAACTGTGTCTTGAAGTCTTGCAGTGGTATGCTTAGGTTTAGTTTTAATTTTATGAATTACAGGATCCCAAGCAGGTGGTAGTACCCAGCCTCTCTCTCTATTGAAATTAGGATGTTTTTTAATTTCAATAGCCTCACGTATCATCCTTGGCAGGAATCGATGTTCTTTCGCGAGAATTTGTGGTTTATCAAATCTAATGTAATGGCGGGGGCCGTCTAGGATATGATCACACATTGCAGACTTCCCGGAACGTTGGTGTTTCACGTTCCGGAAAATTAAAACTAAACCCAAGCATACCACTGCAAGACTTCAAGACACAGTTAGTTCATTCTGCGTAGATCGGACCAAAATTATTAATTAAAAAAGATGAAGGTACTCCGGATTAACTCTGACACCGGGACGTCAATCACCTCAGTCCCCCGTGACCACGGTTGCTGGAAAGCAACCGAAACATCGGGAATATAAAATAAGTTAATTAAACGCGATAAAATCCGTAAAAGTAGTTTCATTCAATGTGTAGTGTTCGCGTAAATATAAGAAATCAAAATATTTCTCAAAAAACATTGCAACATCCTGATCTGATTTAGTTAATTTGTTGTTAAAACTTAACTGGTAGTTTGAATTGCGAGAGTTGACCTTACCAGTTTCACTATTAAGTGTACTCCACGCCATTTTCATTTTATTAGAAGCCGTCGTAATTTTGTTGCTCAAATGTAAATGCAAAGACTTGACTGTGCAGCACACTCCTTTAAATACTTTTGAATATTTTTTTTACATATTCACTAAATTTTGGTAAAGTTCATATAACCTTTGTCCGCTCAATTTGCAACCTACACAACTCAATCAGCTATATTATTTATACATGTTGCACTATATTCAGTAATATGCGTTGGCTCTGAAAATAAATTACAAAACCCATATGATTTAAACAATGATCTAAATTTAATATTGGTGGAGGAATCTTCTAGGAGATTGATATAAGTATCTACATATTACAACAAATTTATTCGGTTTATTAAGCTTAACAAAAACTTACTCCATAATTTTTTCAAAAGCATCATATATAGAACATGGGGATCTATAGACGCTTACAGCAATGATGTTCTCAAACTCAACACATGCCATTTCTACAGTTCGTTCAACAGAGAGGCCCACAATATCTTTACGTTCTTTACATGATAATAATTTACTAGCTAATATTAACGAGTCACCTCTTACAACAGTTTCTTTATTGAACGAACTGACTACCTGGACATTAAGTTATAAGCTTTTAATCAATGTTCAGTAATACATAAAATATGAATATAGTTGCTGTTTAAGAATAATTTAATTTCTAGCTCTTTGCCTATCATGCTTTGTATATTCTGATGCACCAAGTGTAAACAATTTGTCTCATTTTTTAATTTAAATTACTTAGAACTGATTCCAAATTATATATTAAGTCATTATGGTGTTCAATAGAAGCAGATGCCTGTGTAGCCAAGACCTTGGCTGCGTTAATATACATATAATATACATACATATAAACCATAAGATACCACATGTACTATCTATCTTAAATTATATTTAGATAGGTAATACCTATCTCTAGTCAAAACTTTCTAAGTAAAATTATTTATGTCTATTAAATTAATTCTATTATTATAATTATAACAATTAATTTAATTAAAAATAAATTTTATTTTAAGCCAACTCTGTATGTAAGGCAATGTAAACAAGATTCTGAATTCTGAGTGTTGATTCTGACTTCACCTTTTAATTTAAGTGGAAAGTTGTGTGAAAAAGGGGCGAGTGGCATTGCTGCGTCAATACGCAAAAGCATTTCCATGGTCCTGACGACGAGGCTCATGGCGAAGGTGTATCATCAGGAACATCTTGGGTTTTTAATTCGAGCTAAGTCGATATAGTTATAGCCCGTCTTTGTCCCCGAGAGGCAATATTTTAAATTAAACATTAAAAAAAATGTTTGGAAAACACATTTATTTACAAGTAAAAATTTGAATGCTCCAACTTCAAATTTACCACCATATTTTTACGAGCAAAATTGAAATACCGTTTCATTGAAAAATAGAAATGCGTAGGGAACATTTTAGCCTGATAAATATTTACGATTTCAAATGTCGCCCGAAATCAGATGAAACGCTTGACAGACTTCAAATAGAATTTATGAGTAAATGCTCTTGTAAGGCAACCGTATACCGGTACCTATTTCAATTTTCAGCACGGTTGACTAACTTTAAGAGATGAAGAAAAAATAGATCGTCCTATGATGGCTTACGTTACGTAAGGGAAAATGCTAGCAATAAAAAAAAAACAATAGAGAATAGGCGAATTACGTATAAAGAAATTCAGCATTAATTGGTGGTTGGATAGGCAGGCGTTCATGAGATTTTACTCAAACGCACTGATACGATGCACAGAATCAGTTTCGTTTGGCGTGTTCACGACATTATTACAGGTGATGTATCTTGGAGATATCAATATAATAGCAACGTAACGTCAGTCGACGGTGCGGCTGTTTCAATATGAACCGACGCCTACCAAATTAAATTTCTCCAGATCAGGTCAAGCTTTCCGGAAACACCGCCAACTCCCTGACATCGGACTGCTACCGTGAATTGACAGAAAAACCTATTAACTGTTTTTCTCCCGACTCGGAATTCGTACCCGGGGCCGGATGATCATCGTATCGCTTACGAGCAGTAGATCGACGAAGTAGTCATCTAGGGATGTAAAAAAACAGTTCATTCATGCAATCATTCATACAACCTATCAAAAGTCCACTGTACATAAATCTCCTCCATAGATTGTCTTATAGGGGGATATTTGCCATAGTTGCCGCAGTTATCGCATTTTTGTATTATTTTGAGTTGTAATCAGGAAGTTGCTACTGTCCATCTTCAGTTTCAGTT